GTGTGTGTGCGTGTGCGTGTGTGTGTGTGTGTGTGTGTGTGTGTGTGTGTGTGCGTGTGTGTGTGTGCGTGTGTGACCAGAGCTCATTATCTGAGACCTGCACGACGAAGCTTGTTTGGGGTTTATCTTCAGGGTTGACCTTGGCTTTTCAGTGCTACATAAGCAGTCGGCTACTCCCTGCTCTGTACTACACAGCCTGCTGCAGAGCAGAGATGCTACTGATGAAGAAATGCTCGTGAACACTGTGCCACCCTTCCTGCAGATTCCCTCACACAGCAGATAGTGCTGAGCCTTTTTCTTTTTCGGCTGCAAACAATCTTACAAAAATGTTATTGTTGTATGAGCATTAATAGGCTGTATGATCCTACAGGAGGCCTCCTGTAGGATCATACATCTTCAACCAGCCCTTATTTCTTTACATTTTGCTTCCACTAGATTTTCTTCCACTGGTCTTAAGTTTTAAAACATCACCTAGTTGACAACCAGTGTTCTGTACATGTAAGAGATAAAGAACCAATATGAAATCCTGTCTTTATTTTAAAGTTTAATAGGTGTATTTATTTATTTAGATAAAAAATACATCAGAGAGCAACCTGGGGTTGGTATGTTGCCACGATTTGACATGCAGACTGGAGCAGCCAGGGATTAAACCACTAACCCTCCCCATTAGTTGATGACCTGCTCTCCTTGAGCCACAACCAGGAGGTAACTTTTCTAATAAACCATTGTTAAGGAAAGGAAATGGGGAGAAAAGGCTGAGATATGCCAGATTACATAAGACCTGGATTGAAAAGCAGCAGGTTTCTGAGCCTAATTTTGACATTTTTGTCTGAAATTGTCATTAATATGTATGGACGAAGTCAAGAGAGATGTGCAGCAGTGAGCAGGTGCCTGTAAAACATGCAAGAGGCTCTGTCACAGTGTAGGGCTGTATTTCAGCCAGTGGTGATGGGCTCTTCCCAGAAATGATGGAATTATGAACACAGAGAAGTACTTTCAGATTTTAATCAACTACACAGTGACATCTGGAATCTGACTGGCAACAGCTTCATTTTTCTGCATAATGAGCCCAAAGACACGGCCACTGCAGTAAAAGCATAGCTGGATAGACACTGTGGAAGAGTATCAGTGGTGGACTAGTCTCTCCTGGACTTCAGCATGAATTGTGTAGAGTGGGATCATCTCGACAGAACCAAAGGCAGATAGAGGAGCACTCTCCAGTGTCTTTCAAGAAGCCTGGGAAACCATCCCTGAGGACGACTAAACGCTACAAGACTAACAACTAAACAACTAAGGACTACAGAAGGCTTAGGTAACAGAGTTCAGGCTGTGCTGAACAATGGAAGCGGTCATTGACTAGTGTTTGTTTGTACCAACTCTGTTTTCCCCTGTAATTGTGTACTTTTCAGTCATCTTTCCATGTTTCAATAAACTGCTACACCTATTTCCCATTTTTCCCAGCAAAGTGTAAAGAAATGGGGGCAGCTCAGGACCCTTGCACAGTCCTGTGTTTGTACTTGCTGAGCTTCTTTAAAATCTGCTCCTACATTTGAGTTTAGTTTCCATATTTCTTCTTCACTTGTTCTTAGACTGTGAAACAGCATTGGAGCTGAAAGAACAATTCAGTTGAGTTTTATTTATGTAGCACCAAATCACCACAAGACTCAAGTCAAGGTCCTTTAGGTGCTGAGACCGTACAGTCTGACAACGCCCCCCTGTGACCATCGTGGGAAGGAAAAACTATTTTAACAGGAAGAAACTTCAAGCAGAGCCTCAGGGAGGGGGTGGGGTGAGGACAGGGGGGCAGGACGAAAGACACATTGTGGAAGAAACCAAGAGATTAATAATAACTAATGATTAAATGCAGTAGAGGTGTATAAACACATACTGCAGCATAACTAAGGGAGGATTCAGGGTCACCTGGTCCAGCCCTAACTATATGCTTTAGCAAAAAGGAAAGTTTGAAGCCTGATCTTGAAAGTAGAGATAGTGTCTGTCTCCCGAATCCAAACTGGAAGCTGGTTCCACAGAAGAGGGGCCTGAAAACTGAAGGCTCTGCCTCCCATTCTACTTTTAAATACTCTAGGAACAACAAGTAGGCCTGCAGAGCGAGAGCGAAGTGCTCTAATAGGGTGATATGGTACTACAAGGTCATTGAGATAAGATGGGGCCTGATTATTTAAGATGTGAAGAGAAGATTTTTCCAAAGCTCTCACACATGGATGTGGTGTATGCTGGCTTTGTTGTACATGCCTCTAGTGAAGGACTTGTTGAAGGCAAGCTTAAAGAGCATTAGTGAATAATTTAGTCCTGGTGCAAATATGGGGTAAGTGTTTTTTAAGAGGGGCATATATGGCAGCAAAATGGGTTGAATCAATACTCCCACTGATACAGTTGGCAGCTTAAGAACTCGAAGGATTGCTGTACTGTCAGACCTTTGGGCAACAATTGCAAACTACATTGATAACTTCAGATAATAGCAGTGTGCTGCATGTGTGCTGTATATGTTCTAAAACAGACCCGGTCTAGTTGTTTGAGGAAAAGATATTCAGCCAACTTATCTGCCAAAAATAAAGAGAAACATCAAAAAACATTAAACTTACAAAAAACATTTGCCTCTTCTTTACATCTTTACTTTCCCCTTATAGTGTGTTACAGGGTCCTGAAGCTAAACAGGTCCACCTGATGCTATTGTGAGAGCCTGGAGCCGTTTGAGCTTCTAACATTGCTGTTTCATTGCCCCTGCAGCAGCGACGAGGACAACAAGCCTCTGCAGGGCAGCCAGACTTCACTGGATGGCAACGTAAAGGAAAGCGACGACAGCCTGGTGGACTACGGCGAGGGAGGAGACGGGCAGTTCAACGAAGACGGTTCTTTCATCGGCCAATACACAGTGAAGAAGGACAAGGACGAGACGGAGGGCAACGAGAGCTCCGAGGCCACTTCGCCTGTGAATGCCATCTACTCGCTGGCATAGCGGCTCAACAGCGCACACGGGGAACTTGGACTCTCTGATTTGTTATGATAGAACCACACACATGATTCTATGAGTATATGAAACACATTACACACAGTGAAAGCAGCAGTGGCACCAGTCTGGAGACTGTCTAGGCTCTCCTCTGCAGGTAACGTGGAAAAAGATGCGACCACAAGCCTTTAATTTATTTTTCCAGTTCTAACAATATGGTCCATGGACACATCTGGAGAAAGTGGACGATGCTCGTTTTCCTTTGCGCTCTGCCTGCCCTTTACCCACACAGACTTGAAGTGTGCCTTCGGGAGGCATCAAACGTTCTTTAGAGATTTTTTGGTTTGTGACTCAGCTCTGCTTCCCGATAACCTCCCCCGTGCCCGGCATACCTCTGCGTAACCAAGTAAAGTAGTCACAGAGGTTAAATATACATACACACTCTGGCCACATCCTGTAACATATCAGCTTCTAACCATAGGATGCCGGCAGATATGTTTATCATATTGATATTTAGGCAATGAAAGATTTTAGTTTTTCCACAGCTGATAGAGGAGTCCGTGAAACTTAACGAATGCTGTATAAAGTCCTGGCACACATTTTAGTGCCCTGCAAATCTATGCACTATCACCTCCTTCATACCATTTTTGGTTCCATCTGGTTAGTAAAAGTACACATTGTGGGCTTCTTTTTAGCAGGTTCAGTCCCAAGGTGGTTTGCCTTGGACTTTGTTGCATCTGTTCCCTCTTATCCTGTGTTGCAGTTGTTCAAAATGCTTTTGCTGGGTAAAGCTGTTTCATGCTTTGTGCTCAGTTACAGTATGTGGTTAATTAAACCCAACGTTGTTCTGAAGCATGGTCATAAACTTAGTGCGAGAGAAATGTGATAGGTTTGCTCGAGAAACACCAGCGCACTAAAAAACAGTGAATTCCCTAATTAGCATGTGGGCTTGTGCTACATTCATGTCTAGCTGACAGGGTTCGAGGGCAATGGTTCCCACACTAATATGGGAATCATCGCCATCATGTTGTCAGAATGTGGGAAAAACTGCAAAAGGAAGAAGTTTGAATTCAATGTGTCCTGCTGTGAACGTAATCGTGAAAGACACTGGAAATGTCCAGTCTGCTATCCAAAGACAGTTTAGTCTGTGAACTCGAGGAGGTGTGGATCAAACTGCCAACCTCGCAGTTATTGGATGAGCTCATCAAAGCACAAGCTGACTGGTCAGTCACAGTCCTGGATCAATATTCTTCTGATATTGCAGGACAACTGTGAGGCTCCTTAATTCTGTTGACTTTGTTAAAGAGTTACATCCAATCAGGTAAACTGGCAGTTTTGAAAGTGTGTTTTAGAACCAGGCCAAATGTATGGTGGTCACACAGGGACATATTTCAACTGAAAGAAAATATTCTTCTGCCCCTCTTTAGCACTGCGAGTGTCAGGTTAGCATCTTCGTTTTGTCTCCTGGGTCATGAATGTAGCACCAGAAGTCATGATCCATAAGCCGTGTCCACACTAACCTTTGTGCGTCCAGCTTCACTCCGGCTGTGCAGACATCAGTACCACACACTGTATACAATGACCTCCAGTACTCACTGTTACTGGAACAGCCACACGTGTTGATCTGAAAGAGTCCACATAGATACGTTCAATTCTTTTACTTTTTGCCTTGAGGTGCTTTATATTGCAAGCTACAACATGGGTGAGCGAAGGCCAACAATCACATGATGTAGATAAGGTGCATCCTAATCAGTGAGGTAAGTGCACTGCACTCTGTGCAGCCTGACCCCACCTGCACAGAGGGACCTCTTTGGATCTTTATGAACTTGATCCGTTTCTTATCGCTCCAAAAAGACATAATTACAAAACACTGCTACGTGATACAAATGATTTAAAGAATGAAAAGTACAATTCACAGCCACAAATGAAAGTTATCCGCTTCATTTGATGTTTTTGAGGTTCACTCCTGCTGCATTTACTGAAGCTACTATTAACCCCTGAGTGCTACATCAAACAGGCGGACATTTGGAATATTTATTTGGTATTTATTACATGATGTGGAAAGCATTAATATATTAGTTCTTAATTTAATTCACTTCATCTTTATGTACAACTGAGCCAAACTACCGATGGCTACAGAATAAAGTTATTGTTCATCGCGAGAGGCATCAACACACAACTGTATCTTCAACATATTTTTCTAGCAGCTACGTTTTCTGCTGTACTGACGTCTCTGTCCATCCTTATACTCATGCTGTGTTACTGTTACTCTGTGTTGTTGTTCAGACTTAAGTAGCATAACCTTTCCATCATTCTGAGAATGAATCGATGTGTGTTCATTATTGCAGATCATTTGGTATTTATTTTGTACATCAGAGTCCTGAAAGAAAATCCTACCTTTGTAAATATTGAAGACTTGACCCCCACCCGCCCAATGAGTCACAAATCTGCATCCACCAAGCAGCTGTAGTGGTGCAGTCTGTCCTGCACCTTTGTTATGTAGCTTGGATTAATCTTTGCACTCTGAGGAAGAGTCATCCCTTTGCGTTGTCATATACGGACTGTGGCAAGCCTTCTCAGGTGATGGCTTGGTTTGTGTTGTGAAAGAGAAACATGTTCGATTCTACTGTGTTCAAAGTAACAGCTCCTGCAGCGTACTACCTGAGTTACACAAACCACTACAAGACCTGAGAACATGAATTTCCTGAGGTCCCCTCCTTGTCTCAGATAGAGGCTGGATACACAGGCATGACATGTGTCTCATTACAGGGGTCAACAACTTTGACCCCTGTAATGTATTCCACTTTGTTTGTTGGTCTTTGTTCCCCATTACAACTCTTCTCAGGTGCTCTTTGTCAACTTGTAAATCTGCATATCCACAAAAACCTTGGTAAGAAGTCTTAAACTGGGGAAAATCATTCATTTTCTGAACTTCCTCTTTCTTAATGTGTCCTAGTGTGAGACGGCCAATTAACTGCAGCCCCAAACCTGACATGTGTTTCAAACGATCCACAGCAAACAGGTACAGTGTGATATCAGACCACATCAAAATAACACTTCCACAATCCTCAGCTGATACACTTACACTGCAGAATGAAACGGTTTTACTAGTTTTGATCTCTGTAACAAAGACCAAAGGGATGTTTGTCATGATGATATATAATCAACACTAAGCGTTCGGTAAAACTAACATTTAAACGGCGTGTTCTCTTCTGTCTAGAATCCGTTGACAGCTCTCTCTCGAGCACTGTACAGATGAACCTTGGCAGTGTTAATACAATACAGAGTTGGACGAGCTGCTTGCTAATGGCTGCAGTAAGAGGCAAGCCTTTCTAATTCAGTCAGTTTGATTTGTTAAAGCAAACTCAACACTTTATGTGTACACTGAAGGACACGTGAAGGACACTAAAGGAGTAAAACTCCTCAATCATTTCATGCAATGGGAAAGCCTTTATTCTTCCTGTGAGATGTTTGCCTGCATACTGTATGCAAAAACACTGAACGAGACCAGACAACCACAAAGCCAGGCAGATCAGCATCCACATCTATTGGAGATAAAGAATCTGAATTTCAGGAGTGGGACATGCCTCCAAACATGCTCCTTCTGGTTCTTTTCTACATATGACTCCCCCACTTCTGGTTTTCATGCCCCACCCTCACCTCTTCACTTCTCATCAGTACACAGATCTGCCATGGAAACAGGGCATGTGTTTTTGGACTTTGATGGGAATATTTGTATTCTTTTAATAATTTACCTTGAGTGTTTTTGCCAGGCTGTCTCTATCCCCATCTGTGCTACATCCAAGTGTTAGCTACAGTTATCCTTCTTGTGATGTAGCACAATGCCACTTGAAATTGATTGAAGTTACCTGCTTAGCAGGGCGCCAGGTTAAAAACAGTTGTAGAGTTGGATTTTCATGAAACACATGCTTATTTGCTTCCTACAGTGGGTTTAGAAGTTGACCCAGACCACCTGCTGCTTAAGTCTGCAGAGGAGAAGGCCACTTTACTTATGACAGACCTTGTGGCTCCAAAGTGAAATTTGAGTTTGAGCATCTCTAAAACAGAGCCCAGTAGTTTCCTTCTCATTGCTGATCTTATATTTCTCACAGTACGTCCCAGTCATCTGTCCTCTCTCCTGAATGTTAAAGCAGTGTCCTCTGAGTTTTAATCAGCAGGATGACTCCTCCCATGCTGTACTGTGTTGACTAGCAGGACGCTGCTTGTGAAACTGACACAGACAGTGAGACAGAGCACTGGAAGAGCAATATTTGGTTGAAGAGCAGGTCTGAATTGTATCACTGGAACTGGAAATCTTTGCTAAAAACCATCACACACACCACTCCTTACTCGCTCTGCTGCTGCCCATCCACCAACCTCCACTGGTGGACCACAGCAGGGATGCTGGCAACATAAAGAAACAAAGGTATACAAAGCTTCGTGTGTGTCTACACATCAGTTTATGGTGCACAAAGACCAAGCTTCTTTTTCTTCACTCTTCACATTATCTTAGCTCACCTTTAATTGGGGATGAAAATAGTCAATGTGTATTTTTACAGCCTTTGCTTTTCCTTCAGTTTAAAATGCTGCAAAGTGTCAGAACTTACTGGTGCACGTTTCCAGCTGGATTTTTCACAACTGCGTCATATTGGCATCTTCTTGTTTTTACCATGTGTATCAGAGCAGCGTGTTCACACCTTGCTTCTACATGCAGCATAACAGCTTTTGTAAGGTACATCTACTCTACAGGAAATGGCTTAAATATATTCACCATGTATGCGTGTATGATGACATGTTGCAACTTCTGCTAGTGCGCCTTCTTTATAGTAAAGCTATCTCCTTTTCTCTACCTCCTGACTTGGTTGTCATCCTTGTTTCTGTACTTCTGTGCAGCATAGATTTAAAGCAGTAGACTTTCCTATGGAAGAATTGATTATTTCATCCTAATTCATTATATTAATAGTAGAAAACACCACATGTTTCTACTGATACATAACCCAAAATCTTTGTCTTCATTTACAGGCTCCCTCTAGGAGAGCTGGTGATGACCAAGCTAGCTCCTCTGGTGGCCTCTTGAGGCTGGCTCTAAAACAAAGTCTCAAGTTAAACTGACCAATGTCACAGAAATAAAAGTGCATCATTACAAACTGTTACAAAACCAAAACTATTTTACTGCTTTGCACTTTGTGTTTGGCTCTCCCTTTATAAAAGCTGAAAAAGGCTTAAAGTCGGGAACATTTCTACGTGTGCAGCAACAGCCCTGTTCCACTAGTACCGACTCGGTTTCCATCAGGTGGTCATAACTTTTCTAGGATCTACTCGGCCGGGCTCCGAGTCATCTGAGGTGAACTGACACTGTGACATCAGCAGACTGCATGCTATCGAATGGTTGGTCAGTGGCGTCACTCAATGAGTCATGAGAGCACCTCCTTCACCAAAATCAAAATCTTCAAAAAAAACCAAAAGACATTTTTGAAAGCAGACAATGACAGAAATAAAAACCCAAAACACACAGTCTGACAAAAAGACATACACCATACAGCAGGTATACCATTGCGCTGACGTCCTCCACATGACTTTCAGCTGTGGGTGCCACAATGACCCCACACACGTCAGTTGTTACTAGATTGTAATGGAAAATGTCTGAAACAGAACTGAGTCCAGTCGAGCTCGTGTTGGTAGGTACCAGTGAAGCTGTAAGTGATGGTGGTCTTTTAGGCCTGACGTCTACCAAATTTTTACTTTCTGAACCAGCCTCTCTTTGACTTTTTGGAATAGTATCATTTAGAGTAAAGATCACTTTAGATTTTTGTGCTTCAGTTTTCACGAGTGATTTTTTATTATTAGTCTGTTAGGTGATGCATGCAGTATATGGAAGGAACTTGGCAGTTATGGTCATTGTAGGGTCTAAAAGAGATGATACTGGACACAGTCAAAGATGAAACTTCCTGAAACCAGTGGGTGACATCATGGTGACGTCCATATATTCCACTAATTTACAACAGTCATCTCAAGGTGCTTTATGTTGTAAGGTTAAACCCTGCAACATGAGTAAGAAACTCAAGCAATCACACGGCACCTTGTGAGAAAGCACTTGGTTATAGGAGAATCTCCAAAAGCTGACTGTGTTCATCTGGATGTTTTCAGTGGGAGAAACGTTTCATCATCATCAGGTGACGTCTTCAGTCTCAGCTGACTGCAGGTTTCAATCCTATAAACAGGACATTTGCATAATGACTGAAACCAGGAACAATGGGCTGGGAGGTCAGTTCAACTTTTGGAGATTTACTTACCTGGATGATTGAGCATGCATCAAGACGTGATAGGAGAATATTCCCTTTTAACGGGAAGAAACCTCCAGCAGATCCAGACTCACGGAGGGGCAGCCAGCAGGTGCCAGCGGGGGGTGAGGAGAAGAGACCAAGGGCAAACTATGGGAGAGAGTCACAGACGTTAACAGTTACAGTAGTGACACATATAAACACAAACTGAACAAAGATGAGTGTTGGGTCGGCGCTTCCACAGGCCCCGCTGGTTTAGAGACTTATTCCCGTTAACGAAGCAAGACGAACAGCTCAACCGGATTTTCACGTGCTAGCAAGGGGAACCGGACGGCAGCAGTCAGTGTCAAGCAAGTCCAAAGAACCAGCTTTCCCCGCAGCCTTTTATTTCTGTGACACACAGGTTACACAAACACGGGGCGATCGTGGCTCAAGAGTTGGGAGTTCGTCTTGTAATTGGAAGGTTGCCGGTTCGAGCCTCGGCTCGGACAGTCTCGGTCGTTGTGTCCTTGGGCGAGACACTTCACCTGTTGCCTTCTGGTGGTGGTCAGAGGGCCCGGTGGCGCCAGTGTCCGGCAGCCTCGCCTCTGTCAGTGCGCCCCAGGGTGGCTGTGGCTACAATGTAGCTTGCCATCACCAGTGTGTGAATGTGTGTGTGAATGGGTGGATGACTGGATGTGTAAGGCGCTTTGGGGTCCTTAGGGACTAGTAAAGCGCTATATAAATACAGGCCATTTTACCCATTGTAACCCCCCCCTATGTTGCATCATAAACCCTAAGGCATTGAGTGTGCGTGTATGTGCACGCATGTGCACGTGAGTGTGTGTGTTTGTTTTTGGGGGTGTGTTTGTGTGACCTCCTGCTCACCAAAAGGGTCATAAAGACAAGAAGTTTACTAAACAAGAAAACTGAACAGTCACCTGGATGTGTCCCTATAATAAAACACTACTGCCTCCCCCTCCATTCAACAGGCTGGGGAGGGGGTCAGAAACAAAGGAATGTCTTTGATCATACAGTTTGAACCAAGACTTACAAATGTAACTAACACATGACAACATTTAACAATTTCAACCTAACAATGAGTACTGAAGAAACACGTGGTAGACCATGGAAGCCCCACAGCTGCCTATTGCAGCATAAAGGAAAGTTTTAAGCACAATCTCGACCCAGGAGATAGTGTCTGTCTCCTGAATACAAACTGGGAACTGCTTTAATAGTAGAGAGGCCTGAGAGTTGAATGCTCTGCCTCCCATTCTGCTTTTGAAAACAGTCCACAGTCTCTGAATGAAGTGATCTGTTTGGATAACAAGGTACTGTGAGGCCTTTAAAAATGTTAACAGGATGCCAAGTGTTGGGTTTATCTAGGCACAAACCCCGCTGGAACACGAGCCCAACTAACTGCACGACAAAACAAGGCAAGACAGAGCTCTTTGTCTTTGTGGCTCGCGAGGGAAGTCAGCCAAAGCTGAGGATAAGATTCCTTCACCTGAACTCAACCAACTTCAACTGATTCCTTCACTGCAGCTCTTTTTATTGTGAGAAAGCAATCATTCATGAATATGCAATTACAAATACATGTGACCTTCTTAAGCAGGCATCTCTGAACATCAGTGTCTGTATTCTGTCTGTGCGTGTGTGTGTTTCCAGCCTGAATATATATTTCTAAGCATAAATGATTATGTTTCTAAGAACAAATTCTAAATTCTTGTTTAAAACAATTACGAGCATTGTTTCTCCTGATGCTCCTTGTGCACCAGTGCACTCAACCACTGAATGCAATGAGTTTATGAACTATTTCACAGATAAGGTCACTGCCATCAGGTCTAATATCTCCATCATCTTCTCAATATCAAACTTACAACTTGCTCTCCTCTGATGTCTTGTAATGCAACAGGAGTAAAAGAGGACCAAGTATCAGAGGCCTGCTTTGTCATATAAAACAGACTTCAAGCCCCCTTGATGTCCTTCCATCTTCACTTTTCACTAGTGTGTTTGATTCAATTGGCCCCGTATTGTGGAAATGATAAATACTTCTCTTCACACTGGCTCAGTCCCCAGCTTCTTTAAACAAGCTGTTGTTGAGCCAATATTAAAGAAACCTCAGCTGGATCCATCTCTTCCTAACAGTTATAGGCCAATATCCAAACTGCCTTTTATATCGAAGATTTTAGAAAAAGTAGTAGGCTACTAGAACAACGTAACTATTTCCTGGATAAAAATGCTGTTATGGACACTTTCCAGTCTGGTTTTCATAAATTGCATTCCACTGAAACGGCCTTACTTAGAGTATCTAGTGATATGTTGATGGCAGCAGACTCTGGAGAGCACACCGTGCTGGTCCTGATCTCAGCTCTGCTTTTGACACTGTAGATCACAGCATCATGATAAACAGACTCGAGAACTTGTTTGGGATTACTGGTGTTGTTTTAAAATGGTTTATATCATATCTGTCTGAGAGATCTTTTTCTGTTTGCATGAATCATGTCACGTCAGAATCAACAGTTTTGCTGTGTGGGGTACGTCAGGGATCTGTCCTGGGTCCAATTCTCTTTTTACTTTATGTATCTCCCCTAGGCCAAATTATTAAGCGCTATAAATATATCTCCTATCATCTCTATGCTGACGACATCCAACTATACTGTTCCTTCAAAATGTCTGAGTTTTATAAATTGTCTAATTTAAGTAATTGCCTGACAGAAATCAACAAATGGTTATATGACAATTTCCTCCAACTAAACTCTGATAAAACAGAAACTCTAATTATTGCTCCAGCGTATCAGCTTCTTAGACCCTCCTGTAAAATCGAGCCTCAGAAACCTCGGTGCCATGTTTGACAGCTCGATGTCGCTCGAGCAGCTGGTCCGAAACTGTTTTTATCATTTACTGAATATTTCTAAACTCAGACTAATGGTATCAAAGCTTGAACTTGAGATGATTATTCATGCTTTTATTTCCTCTTGTTTAGACTACTGTAACGGCCTTTTTACTTGTTTTAACAAATCAGCCTTAAATCGTCTTCAGACTGTGCAGAATGCTGCAGCACGTCTCTTAACAGGCACCAAGAGAAGATCGCATATCACTCCAGTCTTGGCCTCCCTTCACTGGTTGCCTGTAAGTTTTAGGTTTCATTTTAAAATTGTAGTTCTAACCTTTAGGGCCCTGCATGGTCAAGCTCCTCAATATTTATCTGACCTGCTGAAACCACATACATCTTCTCGGGCTTTAAGGTCATTAGATCAGAGACTGCTGGTGGTACCGCGCACTCGTTTTAAAACTCGTGGTGATCGGGCCTTTCAGACGGTGGCACCACGGCTGTGGGATTCTCTCCCACTGTCTCTTCGCTGCACGGACTCCACAGATTCTTTTCAGAAACAGCTGAAGACATTTTTATTTATTTATGCTGTTTTTATTGCTTTAGTGTTTTACATTGTTTTATTTACTGTTACACTGTTTTTATATTTCCATTTCCTGTGTTGTAAAGCACTTTGTGATTTTTATCTGTGAAAAGCGCTATATAAATAAATTTTACTTGCTTACTTACAAATGACAAAATAAAAACATCAACATT